AAAAAAAACAAACAAAAAAAAACAGATAAAGACACAACAAAAAAGGAAAATTATAGGCCAAAATCCTTGAAGAAAATAGATGCGAAAATTCTCAACAAAATATTAGCAATCAGAATATAGCAACACATTAAAAAAATTATACACCATGATCAAGTGGGATTCATCCCAAGGATGCAAGGATGGTTCAATATACGAACGTCAATAAATGTGATAGATCACATCAATAAACTCAACGAAAAAGACCATATGATTATCTCAATAGATGCTGAAAAAGCATTTGAGAAAACTCAACATCCCTTCATGATAAACACTCTCAACAAATTAGGTACAGAAGGAAAGTATCTCAACACAATAAAAGCCATTTATGACAAGCTTACCACCAGTATCATTCTGAATGGGGAAAATACTGAGGGCCTTTCCCTTAAGAACAGGAGCAAGACAAGGATGCCCACTCTCACCACTTCTACTTAACATAGTACTGGAGGTACTAGCCAGAGCAATCAGGCAAGAGAAAGAAATAAAGGGAATCTAGAAGGAAAAGACATCAAAGACTATCAAAAAACTCCTAGAACTGGTTAATAACTTCAGTAATGTTACACAATACAAAATAAATGTCCCCAAATCAGTTGCATTTACATACTCAAATAATGAACTAACAGAAAGAGAAATAAAGAATGTAAGCCCATTTACCATTGTCACGACAAAAATAAAATACCTAGGGATCAATTTAACCAACGAGGTGAAAGATCTCTACAATGAGAACTACAAACCACTTCTGAAAGAAATTAAAGAAGACGCAAAAAGATGGAAAGATATTCCATGTTCTTCAATTGGAAGAATTAACGTTGTGAAAATGTCTATACTACCCTCAAAGTGATCTACAGATTCTGTGAAATCCCCATCAAAATACCAATGACATTCTCCACAGAAATGGAAAAAACAATCTTAACTTTCATATGGAACAACAAAAGACCCCAAATAGCCAAAGCAATCCTGAGCAAAAAAAAATAAAGCCAGAGTCATAACACTACCTGACTTCAAATTATACTACAAAGCTATTGTAACTAAAACAGCATGGTACTGGTATAAAAGTAAACACTCAGACCAGTGGAGCAAAACTGAGAACCCAGCAATCACCCCTCAGGCTTACAGCCATCTGTTATTGGACAAAGGCAACGAAAATCTACATTAGGGAAAAGACTGCCTCTTCAACAAGTGGTGCTGGCAAAGTTGGATATCCATATGCAGAAGAATGAAACTAGATATGCACCTCTCACCATATACTAAAAAAATGGATCAAAGACTTAAGTATAAGACCTGAAACTGTAAAGTTATTAAAAGAAAATATAGGTGAAACACTTTAGGAACTAAGTTTGGGCACAGACTTTATGAACATGAGCCCAAAAGCACAAGCAGAAAAAGAAAAAATAAACAAATGGGACTATATCAAGCTAAAAATGTTCTGCACAGCAAAGGAAACAATCAACAGAGTGAAATGACAACCTACAGAGTGGGAGAAAATTTTTGCTCACTATGCATCCAACAAGCGATTAATACCTATAATATATAAGGAACTCCAGCAATTACACAGTAAAAAACACAAATAACCCAATTAAAAAATGGGCAAAGGAACTGAATAGACATTTTTCAAAGGAAGACATACAAATGGCCAACAGGTACACGAAAAAATGCTCAACATCACTAGTCATCAGGGAAATGCAAATTAAAATCACACTGAGATACCACCTCACCCAAGTTAGACTGGCTATAATCAAAAAGACAGTGAATAACAAATGCTGGTGAGGGTATGAAGAGAAGGGAACTCTCCTGCACTGTTGGTGGGACTGTAAATTAGTACAACCACTATGGAAAACAGTATGGAGGTTTCTCAAACAACTACAGACAGATCTTCCATACGATCCAGCAATCCCACTCCTGGCTATATACTCAGAGGAATGGATATCATCATGTCGAAGGGATACCTGCACTCCCACGTTGATCGCAACTCTGTTTACAATAGCCAAGACATGGAACCAACTTAAAAGTCCATCGATGGATGACTGGATAAGGAAACTGTGGTATATATACATCATGGACTACTACTCTGCCATAAAAAGGAATGAAATTCTCCCATTTGCAACAACAGGGATGAGCCTGGAGAAACTTATGTTGACTGAAATAAGCACAGCACAAAAGGATAAATAACACATGTACTCACTCATAAGTGGGAGCTAAGAGAGAAAGAACGAAGGAAAGAAAGACCACAGTGGTGCTTTGGACTTGCAGAGGGAGAGAACGTACCTTGGGATACAGAGGGAGGGGGAGGGAGGTTGGGGATAATTGGGTGGGGGACATGGGGTACAAACGTAATTTGTGGTAATGCACATGCTGCCAGTATGGATCTGGCCTTCACATCTTGGGCATGAGGGGTGATAATCAGCTTTGTATCTCATGAATATTCATAAATTAAAAAAAAATCTTTCCATGAACTTTTTGAGTATTCTCGTATAATGGATTGTCTTCATGATAGTTTCAAGACTCTTTTGAACTATGCTCTGTTTTTTTTTTATAAAAGGCTTAGATTATTTTCTACCTTTGGTATTCTCCCTTTCACTTCAGTCCTTTAACTTTGAAATTACCAATAGGTGAAGTCACTGGAAGTAGTTCTTAACAAAGCCTCTCTCTGCCAAACAACATTGAGAAGTCGATGGTAGACTGGATTAAAAATCTTGTAGCCAGCATATATAATTTTTCATTTAGATCTACAATACTGTCGTAGTGCTTCTAAAGATTTATAATGTAGTAATTAAATTATAATCCAAAGAAGTACCAAGAATTTTACTTACAGATGCAATTGTAGCATCTTTTTCAGTAAGTTCCTGTTTGTGTCTAGCCATCATCTCTTTGATCTCCAGCTCTTTCATGATTTTCTCTTTTTCCAAATCAGAATATTGTTCTTCAGCAATTGAACGAGCCAGCTGCTCAGAATCTGCCTTGGTCAAGGTGATCTCCAGTTGGGCAGCCAAGGAGTCCCTACATTTTAGAGAAATATTATTTTAATGTTCAATTTTCACTATGAAGTCAAAGTTTCTGTCTAATTCACTTCAACAACAAATTTTTATTTGCTGAACACCAAGCACTGTTCTAGGAGCAGAGTATATACAGCTGTGAACAAAACAGACAAGGGTCTTGGCTTTACCTTTCATCCTGTAATTCCTGTTTCTTCTGCTGCAATTCTTTACAAAGTTTGGTCTTTTCTTCACATTCTTCTTTAAGTTCCCTAACTTGTGTTTTGTAGAGGGTCTAAACAGCAAAATATAACAGAAATGTATATCACCGTCATCAGGAATATAATTCATACATTCAAAACCTATCCAGACAAAAGTTGAACACATACAAATATTTTCTTACTGCTGAGCTCGTGAAAAAATTAATAATTTAATAAGCTTTCATATTCTGTAGTCGTCAGTTGATTAACTAATAGAAGTTCAACTAAAATAATTTAGAAGCATAATCTTTATCTGGATATCATAGTGATATTTCTCATTAAATGGCATACATTGGTAGGATGAATGAAGAGGCAAGGAAAAACATTACTAATTTAAAGAAAGATTTTGTTGGCTTAAATAAATTGAACAGAGGTGACAGTTTCTACATATTTAGAAACTGATCTCAAGAAAGTACAAATGTTAAAATGACAGTTTGATTACAATTTTATTTCTTTCATTATGAAAATATACTCATCCTTAAAAGCAATGCTTTTAATCAGCTTCATAGGGTATGGTGGTATGTGCTCAGGATTATCTTTCCAGCAATGATAATGGATTTCTGTGAAATTATCTATATTCTTTTGTCCAACTGCTTTTTGTATGAGTTGTGTGGTGTAAAACATACTACCCAAAACACCATCTGGTGTTTGCTATAAGAATCATTTTCCTGGTTCTGCAGCAGCAAGAATCCAAAAAAAAAAATCTACAAATACAGCAATCAAATTAATTAAGCCTGGAACTTACTGAGAAATACTGTTCTGCTTCAAGCTGATCTTGTAGTTCTTTCATTTGCCCATCTGCATCCTGACGTTCTCTATGAGGACATTGAATCAAAGGTTTAAATAAATTACATGCATTATAAACCAGTAACTCTTGAAATATGGTCTGGGGAACGCCTGGGGGTCCCTGAGGCCCTTTCAGAGAATCCATGAGATCAAAACATTTTCATAATAATACTGAGCATCATTGCTTTTTTCAACTCTCATCCCCTCACTAGTGTGTATGAACTTTTCCTGAGGCTACATGACACCATGATGCCATCACTCCTACAGGTATGCTTGTATGTTCTTGGGTTTTAAAATCTTCTCAGTTTTAATTTCTAACACAACAAATACTATTAGATATAACTCACATAAACAAAAAAATTATTGAGGGTTCCAAAGAGTTTAAGAGTATAAAGGGGTTCTGGGAGTAAATAGTGTTATACTAAATCAACATTGAATTACACATTCCCATACATACACTGGGATCAGCCATTTATGTCAACCAAGTAGAATTCAAAGAGTACCTGGAAACTAGTTATCTTAGGGTGAGTGGAGAAATGACTGGGGAAGGGGAGGTTAAGAGGGCTGGTTTTAGATCTAAATCTAAATGGTGACTGCACAGATTTTACACTTTGTAAAAATTCACCGGGCTCTATACTTATGATTTGTATACTTTTTCTGCATGTATGTTAATCTTCATAAAGAAATAAAATAAAATAAAATAAAATAAAATAAAATAAAATAAAATAAAATAAAATAAAAGATAAATAAAAAAAAAACAAGCCTAACAACCCACTTAAGAAGTCAGGTTGAAATGTTATGTTAAATTCTAGGCTTATTTAAAAAATATAAAACTATAGTTATTCTAACTCAAAGATAAGGGGAAGAAAGCAAGTGGGAGAACAACACAACTTATATAATTTTAAAAAATAAGCAAAAAACAAAACAAAATGTACAAAAAAACCTAACCCCATATACATTTGTACAGATGTACAAGTACAAGCAAAGCAAAAGGTCTGGAAATCCCTGACACCCTTTCAGAGAATCCATAAAAAACAAACTGTTAAGATATGCTACCTCTGGAGAGAGGAAAATACCTGCATTCACAAAGGGGACTTATATTGTTTCCTTTTAAAAAAAACAAACATATAGTTCTCAGTATATGTGAATACCACTTGGGTGTTTAAAAATATATATACAACAAGAAAGATTCAGAAAGAGCAAATGATTTAAACCCACCATATTCAATTTGGATATTACTAAGCACTTTCATTCTCATTCCCATTTAACGTAATTTGGTTACTTTGTTTATTCACTGGCCTTTAATCCTCTGGGTAAAAAGGAAGTTATGATTCAACGTCACTGATCTTTGTTATTTCTGTATTTTATTATTGATGAGTGTATTGTTGAGAATTCATGATTCTTATTTCTGAGTAAAAAATATGAGATGCTAATTAATAATAAATATATGAAAGGTCAAATTTTAAAACTATCTCATCATCATTAGCTAAGCCCACTTAACAGCAAACCCTAATATAATTTTCATATTGGGATCTTCTTGAAGAGCTGATATTCACTTATTTGATACTTTTAAAACCTAATCTTTTTTATATATTTAAGAAAAGTCTTTTTCAGAAAGTAGTGCTTCAGAAAGTAGCCAAATAACAGCACATAGCTACAATTCAATAGTACAGAACAGCATGGAAGGAATTACAACTGAAAAGTAGCAGTCTCCTCATCTACCCCCTCTCCAGTCCCACCCATCCTACTCCTTTAGAGGAAATTGATTTGTTTCATTTCTGTTTTGTTCTTTTGGTGGTTACCTCAACAGCTCAGCTATTTCTTACATAACTTTTAGATATTATTTATCAATTCCCTGCTGCCAGACTTGAGAATTTAGCTCTCTTGCCATCCCCAACCTGTCCCCACACTCAATGTAGTTGTATCACTGCTGTAAGTAAGCCTCCATTTCCTCTTACATCAACTACAAAGCACAACCTCCCAGTTTGTAGATAAGAACTATAACATTTCCATCCTTTGCTTTTGAAATTTCATGAGAACATGTCTAGTTGAAGGCCTTTTTTTCACGTTATTTGTTGGATCCTTTCAATCTAAAGACTTTTCCTCCTTCAGCTATGGGAAATTCTTCTCTATTTAATTTCTTTAATAATTTCCTCCCCTTAGTTTTACTTCTCCTTGGATTTTCTATTAGTATGGTGCTAGAACCTGTGGAAGAGTTTCTCTGTGTCTTACCTATTCCTCTCTTATCTTCCACGTTATTCCCTCTTGTTCTACTCTTTGTGAAATTTCTATGACTTTTTCTTCAAATGTTTGTAATAAATTTATATTGACAGTAATTTTTAGTCTTCTTTCCTTTTCTGGCTGTCCTTTTTACATTACATCAGGTTCTCAATTAATGGAATCTTTTGATGAGTACTAATTTGTAACCAGTGGGTTTTTATAGTGCTTTTGTTTTTATAGAACGTTAGAGGTTTGCCTCTACTCCTTTATATATATATATATGTTTCCGCTGGGGGCACTTTTCCTTTTTCTCTGTCATAGTTTTCCTCTTTCATTTTGCAGGTTTTCTTCAAACAATACTTGGTTATTTATTTACAAAGGAGGTGAGAGAAATTTTAATTTCTTTGCATGTGGGAGGATTTTTCTAACTGGCAAACTTCAGTTTAAGATGAGAGGCTTAAGATGATAAGTATGCTAATTATTCAGATTTGACTATTATACATTATATACATGTACCCAAATGTCACACTGTACCCCATAAATATGTACAATTATTATGGGTCAGAATTTCTTAAGTTTAAAACAGAGTTAAAGCCCAGGGGAAGGGGGTGTGTGTGAGAGGATTAAAAAGCCAGCATTAAAGGAGGGGGACCCCTACATGCCAGAATGAGGAAGTCTTTTTCTCTGGTCTGCTGAGCCCGTCCTAGCTGTTCTAATTATCCCCAGAGGTTGTGTGTGCTCCATTTCTTTAGAGGAAAATGCTCTGAGGAACCCTAGTGCTGAGAGTGCCTGACTGCAGACATTTCTGCAAGGATAGACATTTCTGCAAGGAGTGGTGGTAGAGTATGATTAGCAGATTGTTTCATTTACAGTGTCACATCTTAAACCAGGCCTTCAAGGTATTTGCTTTGAAAACTGAACTGGTTTTTTCCTAATCTACATCCAACTTCATATATACTCCTAGCCTCATATATAATCCTTGCTTCCTTTGCTCACTTCATTAGTCACAAGGCTTCCATCCACTCATTCTTGGGGGCCTATACATTTTTAAAACTCCTCTTTGAAGGAAGAGGAGATATACATGTTGACCAATTTTAAATGAAGCCTGTGTAGCACTTCATATGTAAATTCCCATCACACATATTATTTTTTCACACTGTATTCTAATTATTTATGTACCCATTTTACCTCCCCCTAATGAATGCTAGTAAGCTTCTCAAGGGTAGGAAAAGTACTTGATTAATCTTCGTGTCTCCCAGAATGACTATTACAATGCCTTACACATAATAAGGATGTAATCGTTCATGCAACATTTACTGAGGATATACTATGTACAAGCCATTAACCAAAGATTGGGAGAACAAAATATAAATAAATGTTTGCACTTCAATAAACTCACAGCTAGTATGTGGTTATGACAGCAAACATGGATGTCTTTGGGGAGGAGTGGTTAGGAAAAAAAGGATTAAGAAACAACAGAACCATGTGAACTTATAAAGAAAATAAGAGGCATATATACTAAGTACCATAAATTAGTTATAAACAAAGTGTTATGAGAATAAGGAAGGAAATACAATCCAGATGATTAACTAGCCCTTGCATTCACATAAACTGCTGTTAGAATAGATACTATGGAAAGCATTCAGTCAAGTGGAATGCTCCTGCCCAAAGCTGGGCCAATGAGTTCCATACTAAGACTTGGAGTGCTTTCTGAACTTGTGATCTAATAAAGTTGAATCAGGGTCTCTCCAAGTAAATGATGCTATACGACCTATCACTAGAGCTATCAATGGACAAGTTTTCTGTTAAATGGAAAAAGCTGGCCTAAAATGAGAGAGAAGAATAAAGCTAATATACAGAAAAACAAAGATAAGATGAAGATGTCTGAATATCGTTCCAATTTCTAGTTTCAATTTTAAAAGTTGAAATCTCATGAAGTTTAAGAGTCTATGCTTACCCTGGCAATAAACAGATCAGCAAAAAGAACAAAGCCTATTTGAATATTCTGGCCACCCTTTCCTAGATAGTGTCAATCTTACTGACCTGTCATAGGTATGTAAAACCCAGGCAATTAGCAATGATGATGATAGTAGAGTAGTGGTCATAGTTGTAGCAGTAGTAACAGTAATAGTTGCAGTATTAATAGTTTCTACCATTTATTGTGTGCTATGAGTTTTAAATAAATCATTGTTATCCTTTACAAGATCCCTAACAAGCAAGTTATTACTGCCTCCTTTCACAGGTGTGATAAAAGGCTCAGGTTAAATATTTTGCTCAGTGTTGGTCAGCTAGTAAGTGATGGAACTCACTCACATCTCAGTCTGGCTGGCTCCAAAGCCTATGTTCTTTCCACTCTATCACACTGTCTCTTATCAAATAACTGGGATCCAGTATGACCTTTGGCCATGACTGGAAAGAAGTAATTCTACCACTAATAGAATGAATGGGATAAACTTTAACAGTATATTTACTGTCTACTTTTTAAGTACTTTAATAATATGTTTTCCATTTGCTAAGTAAATTAAGTATAGCACTACAGTATATCCTATAAAATGGCTAAAAATTTACATGGTATTTGCTTAATAATCAAACATGTCCAAGTCCTAGAAACTAAAGGAACAACAGGCATATGAAAAATAAACTTGAGGAACAATCCCGAGGGAAAATCTTAAGAGCGTGGAGTAAAAATCCCAGATATTTTCTTCTGCTCCAACACCAATACTTTCCCTTATCATAATATCATAATTAGGTAGCAGTAGTAAAAAACTGTTGGGGAAGCCAATACCATCTTGTCGAAGGACAACAGTGGCACTCAACACATCACTTATAGAAAAAGAAAGAAAAAATGTGGTCAAGAAAGTAAACTGTCAAAAGAAAATCCCCAGATAAATTGAAATTAAGGTAATTTACATGTGGATGACTGTGCATATTAAAACTTTGTCTCAACCAATTTAACTTACTTTCGAAGTTCGGCATTTTGTTTTTCCAAGCTCATTTTCATTTCCATGAGATGATTATTCTCTTGTTTTAACTGCTTTTCTGACATTTTTAGTGTGTTAACTTGCTGTGTTTGCATCTTCAAGTCATTTTGTGTAAGACAGCGCTTCTGAGTTTCCTGCTCTATTTTTAATGTCAAGTTTCTAACCTAAAAAATAAATTGTGTACTTGGTACATGAGTAAATTATTTTAATTTTTGTTATCAATGAAGCTGGCAGCAAAAGTGACATATAATAGACTTTGCCCTTAGGCAGTTAATACATTTCACAGTTAGCTATTTTTTGTATTTCTAAGAATGTTACAAATGTATTTTCAAATATACAAATATTTTATAAAATACAAATATATGATCTTTAAAGTAAAAATAACTTTAAAATTTTTAAATTATGATTCATTTAGTATATCATTGTAATTCAGTAAAACTAACATGTTGTCAAATATTATTTTGCAAGAAAATTTTTAAAATTATGAAGCCATCATTAAACCTTTACAAATAAACCTAGGTTATTATTAATTCATTAAATATTTTATTATTATTTATCAGTAAACTTCATACTTACATCCTCATTTAGCACATCTTTCTGTTTAAGGAGCTCATTTACTTTCTGCTGTGACTGTTTAAGGTCACAGTCTAATATAGAGCATCTTTTCTCAGCTTCCAGTAACAGGTTCTCTACTTTCTGTTTTAAAGTCCTTTCCTCCAAGAGCTTCTTCTCCATTTCTGTCACAATAAAATGAACACAATCACGAACTTACAAATAAAAGAAGCATATCAAATATGTGAAACAGTAATAATAAAAATTGCAGAAAATGATGCTGCCTTTTATTTTTATTAATTTCCAATTTAATATTTATCACTCCTCTCTATGTCAAGAATCTCATGCTTGAAAATTAGGAGTTTCATTTGCAGGGTACAAAATATAACACACTCAGCAATATTACATCTATTCTAATGGAAGGAAGATAATTCTGCCTTTATTTATGGTTCTATAAGCTGCTTACATCTTTAAATAAAGATTTAGAAATTTTTTCTGCTACTGTGTCTCTCATTATTATTTTTTTCATCTTAAAACATTCCAGGTAGATTCTATGAACTCCATGACTCTCCATCTTAATGTATTACTACTATGCAGATGTTGAAAAGTATGTTTTAGGAAGGTGTTAAAGGATAGGACTGTGGAAGCAAATTTCCTGAGTTTAAATTATTTGACCAGGCAAATTAATTAACCTCTCTGGGCCTCAGTTTCCTTATCTCTAGAATGGGGATAATAGCACCTTCCCTCCTAGAGATGTTATGAAGATTTTGAGTTAATACTCGAAAAGTGCACCACTTAAATGCTGCCCGGCATATGGCAAGCACTTGGTAAGTGATAATTATTTAAGGAGAATTTTTAAATAAACTATGAAAATGCTCACATTGTTTTTTAAAAGAAGAAAAGCCAAACTGTATAGAAAATGGAGAAAATATGCAAAATACTATGCCAATTAGTAGGATTATGTGAAATCTTTCCTTGTTTCTTTTATACTTTCCTGTATTTTCTAAACAATGTGCAATAATCTTTTAATTTGTTTTATTAATCAGAAAGGGCTTTTAAAAGCCTTCTTCCATCTCCAAGAGAAGCGCAGGCAGAGTTTAAGTCTTACCAAGTGATGTCAATATTAAACATAAATTATTACAGTTAAAGGATTATCTTTTGATATACTTAGTTGTAATTCAGGGCAAATCCAAGATTCTCCTGCTTCTTCACATCTAATGCTCTACATCTAATTATCATCCATTATAAAGTTACGTTAGGTAAAAATTAAACCTATAAATTTTCAGTTTTTAATGAATAGTCTTCAAAAGCATGGAAGAAAATGAAACATGCTTCATGTAGCGCTAATAAAAGCTAGCATTCCTAAGCACTTTCACGCACTTGATTTGCACAACCTAATGATACTGCTATTGTCTCTTTATAGGAAGCAAGGCACAGAAAGTTTCAGTAACTAAACAAGGTCACTATGGCTAGTAATTACTTAGTAAGCTATGTTCTTAATCCAAGGAGGCAATGGCATGCAGCAGAAAGACCAAAGGCTTTAGACCCAGATTGGAATAGCATGTATAATATTTAACAGTTTTGTATACTCACATGGAAAATACAGAAGTCATCATGTATCCTATATCAGAGTTCTAAGTAACAGTTTGACAAAATGGTAGTTATAGTATACTGAATCGGTTCATTTTCCTCAGTTCAGAGAATAACCAATTTACAAATGTACTCATTTTTAAAAAGTTACCATAATGTAGGCACAAAGAATAGAAAGAGGCACAAGGGAACTTACTGAGGTGATGAAAATATACTATGTCTTGTTTTGGGTGGTATTTATACGAGTGTATCACAAATGCCAAAAACATTTACAATTTATTACACATAAATTATATCACAGACAAGGAAACACGGCCAACTAGCTTCCTCTCTTCCAATAGATTTTTCTAAATAAGGCACTCATTTCATTTCTTATCATCCTGAATTTCTGCCATAAACTAAACTGATTTTAATAAGAAAATCTACAATTTTAATTACATGCAATAATTAAAAGGCTATTTTTTGATAAGTTATTCATAAATGTTATGCTTCAATCTGAAATGAAATTTCTGTTCAAGAGTTTTAAGACTTTCACAAGAATAAAAGTACTGATTTCCTTTGGAATTTCAAATCCATCATAATTATAAATAGTCAGTTTGGAAAACAAGGAATTATCCTAAGACAATTCCAAGATAAAGCCTGGTTTTTGGAAAAGTTAACTTTGTTATCTATTATTACTAAATGGCTTTGACCAAATCTGGCTAAGTATCTTTATGCCACAGTTCAAAATATTCAGTGAAATTATATTCCAGTTAGGCCGACTATTGTTTTTAAATCTTTGTTGTATAAATTGGCAAGAATTTTCTAATGTAAGTTGGTGAAATGTCAAACTATAATAAATATTACAAAAAAAGAACATATCCCCCCAAATCTCAGCAGACATATCTAAATCTTCACACTCTGTATCCCTATTACTATTACTGGTACCACTGAAATATTAATTTCTCTCTGATCTAAAAATTTGGTCACATAATTTTGTGTTTGGATCTTACTATCTTAGAAACGATTATTGTAATGATGCAATGGAAAAAAACATATACGCAAAGCTTCCCTAACAGTTCCTCTCCTCAAGTTCCCAATATTCGGCAATGAAATATAAACAAATACTTTTCAAAACCAAAGCATTCTTAGGAAAATGCTGCTGGACAACCTTCTTTTAAAAATGCATACCTTTCGGGCTGGCCCGGTGGCGCACTGGGTAGAGTGCAGCACTTGGGAGTGCAGTGGCGCTCCCGCCGAGGGTTTGGATCCCATATAGAGACTGGTCCGCTCACTGGTTGAGCGTGGTGCGGGCGCGACACTGAGGGTTGCGATCCCGTTACCGGTCACGAAAAAAGACAAGAGGAAAAAAAAAATGCATACCTTTCATGGCTTCTGATTTAGCTTCTTCAATGGATTCATAGATCTTATTTTTATCGGCTAGTCTTGTTTTTGTAGCCTTGTGTTCAGCTTCTTCTTGTTCTAAGCTCTGCTGTATAACTTTCAGTTGGTATGTCATATCTATTTCCATGTTGCTCTTTTCCTATTAAAGATTTTAAATGGCAACTATCAACAACAAACACTGACTCACAATTTCAAAAACTTGCAAAACTCTTTTCTAACAGGTTTAATGAAAATGTTCAATGTTTCCCCTCCACTCATTATCCAAACTTCTTATGATAATAATCTATGTACTCTATCTCTTCTCTGTACCCCTCCTTCCACACCTCCACTACACTGTTTTGAGCTCTGTATTTACATTGCTTAATCTCAGTAAAGCGACCAATGCTATTCTCACTATCAAATTCACAACACTCTTCAGTCTTTATCTTATTTGAAATCACTGCCACCTCTGAGGCCATCCCTTGACATTTCTGACACTGTGCTTACTTGGTTCTCCCCATTCTGCTCTCATCTTTACTGTTGCTCCTAAGTTTTCTCAGCTGCCCCCTTAAATGTTGGTGTTCTTTGGAGGTGGCGGTCTTTAGCCAAATGCTTCCTCTCTTCCTATATCATTATTTCTTAAATTCTTAAAACATACTTAATATTTCCCTTTGCTATAAATTAAAAATAATATCAAGATCCCCTACCATTCACCTGTACTCCCCACATAGGGGACTTGTTTTAAGTTGAGAATCCTTGATAATAGAAATCAGTCTATTTTCTATACATACCCCAAACATTTTCTAACTCTTGATTTCTATAGCTCATATCATAAATATGAAACAGGTATTTCTTTTTTTAAATAATTTTTTTAATACTAAAATGATTTTCAAACTACAAAATCCACCAACAGAGTAATCTACTCTGCCCTGAAAAATCGTTCTTTTCCCAGATGGGCTCCTCTACTCACATGGCTTCAGCACTTACATACTGATGATTCTCAAATATTTCTAGCTTCTATTACCATAGCACACTGCCTTGCAGACATTCTAATTTGGCTGTCCCACAGGCACCTCAAACTTAAGAGGACTAAAATGGATTTATCACTGTCTGCTATTAATGAGCTATTTTTCCTTTATCAATTAATGGCACCACTATACAGCTTGTCTCAAACTACAAACCTGGGACTGATCTTTAACTACTACTCACATGCCACATCTAATCAATTACTAAGTGCTGTGAAATATTCCTCCCCCAAATATTTCTGAGTCATTCCTGTTTTCCATCCTTTTAACAAATGCACTAATTAAGTTTCCAATATCCCTTATCTGAATTACTGAAAAAGTCTTCTGATAAGTCTAGTCTTGTCCTCCTCAAATCTATTCTCCATGTAGTACATAGTGATCTATCTTAAATGTATCTCTAATAAGGTCATCCAATTTAAAGCTCTTCAGTGGCTAGCCCATTATTTAAAGACTATATTATAAGCTTAACAGAGTATTCAAAATTCTGCATGATCTAGCTAATGCTTAGCTCTGTAACCTTACTCTGGTTAGTGAATTCCTCACACTCTTACATAAGGACCATGTTACGTCTTCAGGCCAATTTCGGTCTGATGTCTATTTTTTTAAAAATTTCATAAGACATAGCCACACACGTTCTTTTACAAACTGCCACAGGACTGAGTAGTTATAACAGGAAACCATATGGCCCACAAAACCTAAAATATTTATTATCTTGCCCTTAAAAGATTAAAGTTTGCTGACCCCTTCTCTATGCTCCAGAAATATTGAACAGTTTGTAATTAAATAAACAATAGCTTCTTTATTTTCTATCCTCTATGCCTTTGCTCCTGCTGTCTTCCCCAACTTTACACATGCCTTTATCTTGCCAACCTATTCTGCCCTGTCAGATTAGGGATTCATACTATACATCAATATATATATCCTGCCCATATCTCTATCATTCCATTTACCACACTACATTAGAATTACCTGTGTGCTTCATTATTACTTAAAAATGACCCATTAGACTGTGATATTATTAAAGGCAAGGACTGTACCCTCATACTTCTACCACATATGACACACTAAATACTTAAACAAATGAATAAAGAAGTAAATGAAAATAAAACATTAACTACACAAATCCCAGAAATCACCCCTGGCTTATAGTACTTTTAAAGAAAAACTCAGTAAATGACAAAAGTTGTGATGACTTTATATCATGTCATTTTTAAGACATGTTATGAGACAAAATCTGAGTATTACTTGGATCCCTAGAGAGAAGTATCCTCATTACACACATTCCAGACAGTCCCTTCCTTCATGAGCATCCACACAACCAAGTAAATATAAAAGAACCCATGAGCATATGGAAATATTTGGAAATATTCCAGTTAGTGATTTTCCTAATTTTGGAATAACTTTTCTAATCTGAAATTCTGCCATTTTCTTACACAAAAAATATAAAGCTTATTAACATGTTTTACCTTTTCCAAATCAGTAAATCTCTCCTGTAGCTGTCTCTTCTCCAGCTCTACTTTTGTTAACAAGATTTTGCCATTCTTTAAGTCTTCTTCCAGGCCAGATATTCTACCTAAAAATTGCAACATTTTTCAAAACAATAAATCTACAAAGTGTATACATTCAGTTAAGAGTAAAAAATTTAGAAGCCCCTTAATATTTTGGAGCTGTCATTTATTTGTAAGCAGGAGTTTTACACTTGTTGGTATAGGGCTTCACAGTTAATTTAACTAGAACCCAATCTACCACCTGAGGAGTTTGATACTTAAAATCATACTATTTGAAAGTAAATCTTTAGTTTATAAACTTTTATATCAATGTATTTCTAATATTCTAACTTTATACAAGAGTAGTAAATTCAGAAATGTGTTACTCCAGGACATTATCCATCATTTAAAGTTAATTCCAAAATATAAATCATCAAGATTGATTCAAGTGTAATCTCTACTTTATTACCTTGTAAATCATTAATTATCTCTGATCCATGGGTACGATCCCTCCTTTCAGATTCTAGAGCTGACTGAAGATTGATAAATTCCTTTTCAAGTTTTAACCTGGCAGTCTCCAGAAGGCAGTTTTTATCTTGAAGATCTCTATTGTTAGATTCCAGCTGCTGGATCTGTTTTGAGCTTTCTGCCTGGGTTTTTCTTAAGCGGGCTGCAGTATCAGATTCTGTTCGCAGCAAAGCATTCATTTCATCCAACTGTTATTTCCATTTAAAATCAAACAAACAACAATAAAAACTATAAACAAATAAACACAGTGTATATAATGAAAATACATCAATTTATTACCCCATTATAAACTATTTAAAATAAACAAAAACCGGAAAACATTTTCACTAAGGATTTCCCTCTAAAATTAGAAGCAAAGGCCTTCTGCACCACTGTCAATTAAAACCGTTAATAGGCAGTCATAAATAAAACTCAATATCCTCATTACAAATTAAGATCAACCTACTTGTCTCTGAAGGTGATTCACTTTCTCGGTGGATATTTGAGAGTTTTGATTTCTTTTTTTCAAATCTTCAAGTTGATCTTTTAAGCTGTTAACTGTAATAAAAAGCATTTCAGTGGCAAGCTTTAAAACAACACATACACAAACTTAATTTTTTCCTTGATAAGCATTTAATATTCTATAGCACAAACCATCATTTTCCAAATTTCGTTTCTTGTCTGCTTCCTGATCAGCTTTCCGCTGATATTCTGCATTTTTGTGCTGAAGAAGGGCCTTTTCTCTTTCTAATTGTCTTAATGCAGATTCCACATTTTTCCTTAAGGTAATCTGAAATAATGCTTAAAGTTATTATCAAAAGCAAGTATGTATAAAATTCAAATCATAACAAAAATAGTTCAGATATTTCAAAAATACAAAAAAGATCTCAAAAAAAAAGCTATCGCTATTTTTTTGTTGTTGTTAAAACTATAATGATGTTTTCCATGTTTGTAAAAGCTGCACACTATTCTCTTTTTTGCTTTTGGCAGCTGGCCAGTAAGGTGATCCGAACCCTTGACCTTGGTTTTTATCAACACAGTGCTCTAACCAACTGAACTAACTGACAAACTTTCTATAACTTTCCATCATCAATACCGAACCATCACTATTTAATACTAACTATGGGCTGCTCTAAAATGTTAAGAATAGCAATTAAAAAGGTCACTTTCTGTTTTTAAACCATGTCACTAAACACAACACAAATGAAATTTTTTTATTGAAATATCTACACATCCTAAATTAACTCAGTTTGTAAAAACATATCAGAGTGAAACTTATTATAATATGATTAACCTATAATTTTAGCCCTGCCCACTAATGCTACAAAGTTGGTTTTACTATATATCAAGATATATATTACCAGGATACTAAGAGAACTCTGTAGGTAAAAGTCAGACCTACATTTCCTAACAAAAATGTTAACAGAAGCACAAGACAACTTTACCTCTTCTTCTAGCTCCTTTACTGTTTTCTCAAGGCGAGTATTAATAGATCTAAAAGAATTTGAAAAAGAAACAGTAAATAAAATAAATCTCCTAATTTACATTAAAACATAGTCTATAAATTTAAAAAATAATTATATAATTTCTTTGCAGGTCTCTTTTGTTAGTATAATGTTTAAATTTAATTTTTTTTTTTACTTTTTTGGGAGCTAACTATACTCGTAATGGGATGTTTCTCATATTTGGCCAGCATTTCTAAGCTTTTATACCACAGGGTTTTCAGGTCTTTTTTTTTTTTTTTTTTTTTTTTT